CCTGCTTGTGCTGCTGCTTTTTTGAAGCTGCGCTACCATCAAACAGCTGAGAAATGAAATGCCAGCACAAAGTCCTCTTGAGGCTAGTGCACTCACTAGATACATGAGCTACGAAATTATAAAAAAAAGTTAAATGTTTCTAATGTTTTCATATTTTTAATACAGCAATGTTAGCAGCAGCTTCATGATTAAGTTTGCAATTAATTTAAAATTTACCAGGCAAAAACCTCTTTGACAAAAACTTTTTTAAAATAGGAAGAAAATCACATTGATCTGCTTGTTTCAGGTGTATTTTACTAGAAAATAATTACAAACTCTTACTTTTTAGTTACTCTGCTTTTATATAATTCTTTGTACAGACATACCAGATTTTACCAGGTTAGATTAATTTCTTGGTCAAATAATTCGTAAATATTTACATACTGTACTAACATTTTAATAATGGTGATGTCTTTAACTATTTTGAGAAAGTATTTGTCATATAAATGGACTAAAAATATTGTGATACTCTTTGCAGTTTACCTCATCTTTTCATAATTAGCAAGATGAAAGGAGATTTCTCTTTTTGTGTGTCAGGTGAACAGTGTGTCACAAGTGTCAGCTTGAAAATAGAATTATTGTATTTGTCCTGATAAAAATTAACCATAATTAGAGAAATATTTCTTTATTGGACACAGTATACATTCTTATCTTTTTCTACCTATATTGATTACATATTGTTTTCACGATTTAATTTCATCAGTGTATCTAAACAATTTGGATTATATAACCACAAAGGGAAATAAAATGCAAATTGTCATTGAGAAAATAAAGCCTGATACATTTATCAATTATTATTTCATCATTTTCATTTTTAATAATGCTTTTTGCAACCCTTCAAAGACAGACTGTTCAACTTCTATTCTGTATGGTGTTTTCTAAGTTCTGACTGTTGGATTTACAATATCAGAGCCCATGTTCATAGAATTCTTTTAGGACACAAGCTCCTTTTTCTTAAGTTGTGCTCATAAATTATGTTACTGCACTCATGAAAGCATTGTCCTCCAGATCTACTCACACTCTACTTATAAAAGTAAAGATAGGCCTTTCAGGAAATTCAGTCACATTCTGTTATCTTAGATTGGCATTCTCAAGCAGAGCATTTCACAGTATCCTTCCTCAGTGACAAGATAAGTTCTTGCCTCATAAATCCCACCCTATAGCTCAAAGGGACTTGAAGTTCTAGACAGGCAACCATTTGAGATCAGTGGCCACTTGCTTGCCACTGTAGTAAAGCATGAAACCAGCCTTACAGCTTTGCAGTTTCCTGTGGAAGAATATTTGCTGAGATATGGTTTCTTCAACTTGATTTCCTCACAGATTTCCTCACATAACTTTAACTAAGGTCAAGATAATTAAACGCTAGTATGCAAAAACATTTTTTACTCAAATGGCTCCTGATTTCTGTGTCTTTATGTTCCTGTTACCTTTGTTTTTTTCCTTCTTCATTAAGCCTCAGGCAACTTCTCACCTTACAAGGAAGGAATATATATATACCAAATGTCTGTATATATTCCTACTTTGTATTCCTCTACCCAGCATACTGGGTGACACGTTCTTTTATATTAGCAGATCAAAATTCTTGAGAGGGACACTGCCTCTTCATGTTCACTGTAGAAAAATTTAAAGGACTGTCCTCCAAAGGCACTACCTGGCAGATACATAAGAATGCTATCAAACTAATATACCTGTAAGCACGACCACAGGAGCTCCCTAGAGTAAAGCTCAAGAAGTAATTAATACTCGCCAGTGTTTCAAGGAGCACTGTACTCCTGGAAACCTCTCCCAGGTTTTTTTTACTTTACTAGTAATCATATCAGAAAGGACCTTTTTCCAGGTTTTCACTAGTGCGTAATGTGAATGAATAAATGTAGTCACTAAGAAAATAATCTACTTATCTGTAACTTTCTTTCAAGACACATTGTCAATACATATTCAGAATATATTCATATTCTTTCTACCTGAATTTAATATAACTTTCAGGTGCACTTATTGTTGAGACTGGGAAATGCCTGGCACAGCATGTGTGAGAAGGGAGAAGAGGATAAGGAAACAAATGATGCAGGATATGCATATATCAGTTATGCTACCATTAAAAGCCAGCGACCTTTTTAACAGTGACAGTGCAGAACATCTTAAAGGATTATTATAAAAGGACTGTAGAGGGAAATCATAAAAGTCAAAGGCATAAAATCCAGTTGAATTTTTGTAGCTTTCTGAATTATTTATATATTCAGAATACAGAAACACGTCTAAACATAGTTTCTAATTCTAGTTATCAGGTTGTCAGGTGCCTTTCTAGCTTCTGTTTCTTGCTCTAGGTCATGCTCCTTTTTATTTCTATTCTCCTTTTCTTAATATGCAGCTTCTAAACAGGCTCCTAGCTTCCTGCAGATAACTCTTTTCCATTTCCCATCTTTTGTACAGCCCTTAATTACCTCTAGATGCCCTTCATTGTTGTCTCAGTTATGCCAATTGTCACAAGCCCACTCTTCTGAAAAGCTGGAAAATTCCATGCTCTGTAAATAATTGTTGTTTAGCAAGCTCTTAGTCTCTTAGCAAGGATCTGTTACTGCAAGGAATCTCACAGTGTCAAAGAGTGAGGGATCTCTGCAGCAAGTATTAACCCTGAGAGGCATCTGTACTTAAAGAGGTTGTATAGCTCACTGCTGTGCGGGAGAGCTCAGCAAGCTCTGGGCTGTTTCCTATTTATGGGTTAAAATTACTGATTCATAGTCATATTTTCTGGTGCATATTTAAGCCGTCTACTGTTGAGCAAGATGTCTAGCTGCCAGTTTTTCCAGCACTCAGCCTGAGCCAGTATTGTGGTGTCTGTCTGCCTGAGCAAGGCAAAAGCCAGACTGAAGAGAGGGGATTGCACATTCTTGCACCCCACCCCACCCCAAGGACCTCCTACTCAGCCACTGGAGACCTTGCCTGATCTGGCAGCTGATGCTGAGATCCCAGCTCACTGCAGTGAGTGTTGAGGTCCAATATGCCTGAATGCCTACACCCCTTTTCTGACTCCTAATGCTGATGCCCCAAAGCAGTTGGCTCTTAGTCCTTGTAGCACTCATGTGGAATTAGAGAGTTTACACAAAGGGATAGCTGGGAAAGGATTTGGTAAGAAGGCAGGAGGACAAACTGTGCTGGTCAAGCACAGGGCCCAGTCAGACAAGCTAATGGATCCCACTTTGCATGTGATCCTTTCCTTTCCAGTTTCCTTCCAGTATGTTACCCTACTGCTTGGCATAGTTCCACTAACATGCCCTTTCCCCAGTATTTGGGACCCCAGATCTGCATCCTGAGGGATTGCAAGTCCAGTTTGACACTCTTTGAAGTGATGATTGAGGTTTCTTGGTAGTCTACTAATTAACATGACTGACAAGATGGTTTCTTATTATTGTGTATTTTACTGTATGTTTGTCAGGTGTGTGCTGTGTTTATGACTCATCACATTTTGGCAGGGTCCTCAGTCAGATAATATTACCAAAATAAGCATTTTCACATTCCTCTTATCTCTGTAAATCAGCATTACTGAACAGGTTTGAATCTTGTTTTTTTTCCATTTGTGTGTGCGTTTGCTTTTCACTTTTTCCTTATCATCCCATTTGACAAGATTGCTGAACAGATAACCTTAAAAAAAGCATATGTTCTTCCCTTCCACTTACCCTCATAAAAAGTTTATTCAGACCATGTATGTGGTGGTTTTTATTTCAACTCAGCTACAGATAGTGAGTGGGTGATGTGCTCCAGACCAGAAGGAAAATGGAAATATCTAGAAATTAATGAAGTTAGGTACCTGTGATACTGAAAGAGATTCCAGTCTGTATCTATATCTATGGGAGTAATGCTTTTTTTTTTTTTTTCTCGTTGATTTTTATGGTAAATGTTGAGAGAAGAATACTTTCCCAATGCATTTTCATGGGCTTTCCATTTCTTAATGAGACAAGAGAAATAATAGGATAGCAAAGGTATTGAAACCTTTCCAGTTATGTGGGATATTTTTCATATAAATTCCTAGCAAATCTAAGAAATTAAGGCATTTTTAAATTAAAATTAGATAAATTGGATTATTCAGAATTTTAAAGAAGCTGAAATCTAAACAACTGTGTTTTTATTGCAGTAATCCCTTGTGATAGAATTTTACTTCAGAAGGATTTTTTTTAATAAATTGCCTTTTTTAAATAGCAGAAATACAGAAAGCTGTTATATCGCTTTAAATGTAGTGACCCTCTGTGACTTTGTGCTCTCACACTTTGCAGTGTTAAAAGGTTTCTTTCTATACGAAAATGTATTACTAAGATAGTTCATTTTCAATTTTGATGTACTCTTTGATTTTGAGACTTCGTAAGAAAAAAATATACATTTTTTGTTTGCTTAGGTTTGCAGAACTTAACGGAGATGTATAGCTGAGATACTGCATACTGCACTTACTTTTTATTTTTTAATTACCTTACTAGACTAAGAGCAAAATATGAACTTGATCATTAAGAAAATAACTATGTGGAGATTAATCATGGTATTCAAGATATGGCTTAATTGTAACACGTTTTCTCTAGTCTGCAAATGATGTATTTGAGTTATAGTAAGACAACCTAAGACATTAGGATTCTGGAAGAAGAAAATAGTAATCTTATGCTCAAATGCAGTTAATTCAGTTTTACGACCTAGCTGTTCAGTCATTTCTTCTTCAGTTAAATATGGTAAAATATAGCACAAAAAACGTAAAAACATTTTAACAGTTTGTCTTAGAGGGGAATAAAAATCCTAAGCAGGAGCTGTGTCTTACTTTCTATGGCCAGGAACTACAGTTAAATTCAAAGGGCAAATTTGTAAAAAAAAAACCACATAAGGCATAGGAGTATACATGAAAAATAAAAACAAAAATTGCATCTGTGTCAAGGTACCAAAAGGTTCTGTGCTTTCAGAAGTCTGATTATCTGTTTTTGTTTTCAAAGGTAGTGAAAAGAATTTTGGGGATCAGTTTCTTCACTTGTATCTTGTGGAAGGAAGACCAACAGTTCGATTCAGTTGTGGAAACTCTCAGAACATTCTGACTGTATCTGTCAATCAATCCATTAGCAAAGGGATATTCATGCCTATCACAATAAGGTAAGAACTTAATACTGTGTTACACTGAAGAGATTTAGTCTCCTTATATATTGAGTAAAAAAGTGTACATTTTTGTTCTTTTGTTTGTTTATTTTGTTTGTTTTGTTTTTTGTTTTTTGTTTTTTTAAAAAAAGGGAAAAAAAAGATGGAAAACAAAACCTTGTGTATTTTTGGAAATATTTCTCATAATATAGCGTCCTTGAGTTAAGATGCCTTGTAGTTCGCGTATATTACTTCAGTTTTTCAAACTCCAGACAGAAAAAATAAGTCAGTTTAAGTAGTTTTTATTAAAACAAAAAAAAAGAGGGCAACAAAAACGCAGAACTGGTGGGATATGTGAACTTGTTATCGTGAAACTCATACATCAATATCTGGTTTGATGTCAGTGGCTGCGATTCTTAGTGAATTTTCAGTGTGTTCATCGGAGATCTTTGATGAAATTTTATCTGTCTTTCATCCTTGAAGGTAGTTGTTCACAAATGTACAAACTCTCAAATGGTGACAGGAGTAAGGTGTGATTGTAAAGTAACCATTTGTCTTTCTCCAGTAAAATAGTGCTTATAAAAGTAGAGAGACAGGGTCACATTTTTGGGATGAATGTCTGATTGCAATTCTGTACACCCCATTTGAAAATTCCAGGTAACATATTTATGTCAACTGAAAATGAAGTTGCAGATATGCCAAAAAAATGATGTGTTTGTTTTTTTGTTTTGTTTTTTTTTTTTCTTTTCCAATTTTAAAACTTCTTCTCAAATTCCTTTATCAAAATGGAATGCAAGACTGCATATTTTTTGCTGTCCTCAGGACTGTGTTTAGCCAGCGAATTAAAATGCATGAAATTATTTGCTATAACTAGAGCTATCACTTCACTGCTCCCTCCCCATGCCCTGGTTCCAGGTCAGGCAGCATTAGTAGTGCACTGACATTTGGCTGTTGCTGAGCCTTGAATGCTCCCAGGGCCTAGCTGGGCCACTTGGCAGAGGGGGCCAAGAGATGCTGGGCAGGGGCATGGATGTATTGCCAACCAGGCTGGGCCACATGCAGCCCATGGGTTGGATGTATGTGTTCTTATCTATTCTTTCTGTTCTATTTCATTAATTTACTCCTTGAATTAATTAGACTTGTAATCGTATTTCTTGTGATTCTTGTGTGTATACGCCTAACTTACTGGTTAATTTTAACATGAGAAATCAAAAATAGACCAGTGACGTGCGGAATCAAATTCTATAACTGCAAAGTAGTTACAAAGCCGGTATGGTTCATTCAGTGCTGTGCAGATACCAGGTGCAAGGGGAATAGATCCACCTAGCTTGCACACCGTCTGGAAAAACTGTGCTACAGATATAAGCTGAACTAATCAATAGTTTTCCTGGAATTTGGTTACATATTCATTATACCCCCGAGAGTTCGTTAGCATGCAGACCCTCCCCTCTTGCGTGTGCATAGTGGGTCGTGGGATGAAGATTTGTGTTTTCCTCACGAAGGCTTCTGACCGTTTTCTCTGCTCTGTTAATCACAGAATCAGAGAATTGTAGGGACTGGAAGGGACCTCTGGAGATCACTGAGTCTAACCCCCCAGCAAAGCAGGCTCCCTACAGTAAATTGCACAGATAGGCACCCGGGTAGATCTTGAATATCTCCAGAGAAGAAGAATCCATGACCTCCTTGAGTAGCCTTTTCCACTGCTCTGTCCCCCTCACTGTGAAGAAGTTACTTCGCATACTGTTACAGAGCTTTCTGTCCTCAAGTTTATGGCCATTTCCCATTGTCCTGTCCCCACAGACCACTGAAAAGAGGTTGGCCATATCCTTTTGGCTCCCACACTTAAGATACTTACAAAATAATATCCCTATATAACTCTTTTACACTCAAGGGATTTCATATGCACAAGTTAGAACAAAGCTAGAAACAAATGATACAGATTTTCTATTCTGTTAATAATATTTTTAAAATGCTAGAGTATGTGAAGTTTACTTTAAAATATTTAAGAATTATGATGTCCATTAAATTTTTCTGATTATTATCATTCCAATATTTATATATTTCACTTTATCATATATTTAAAGTTAAATTGCTGTACCTGAACTGTAAGCATTTATGATATGAGGGAACTCAGTGCAAATTATTTGCATTAAATTTAGTACTAGCTAGGAACATTTTTGTTAGTAGAGGATAATATATGAAGGACGTTGCAAAAATCCCCTTGAAACATTTATAGCAGTGTTCTCAAAATCGGCTTGTTAACATCAAAACAAGAAAGTAAAAACATCATGAAGATTTTTGTGTTTGTCTTCAGTAATATTTATGTACTATGTAAATGTTGCAAAATTCTAGAATGTTGCTTATGCTAGAAGAATTGAGGACTTTGTTATTATAGAAGAGATTGGTAGTACTATATGGATATTGGTATATTTGGTATGGGGTTTTGTGTGTGTGTGTGTTGTTATTTTTTATATTCACCCCTTGATCCTTACCATATTCTGTTATGAAAAATAGTAAATGTTAGAATTTAAGTAGAAAACCTCATTTCAAAATACAGAGGAATGAAAGGATCTACCATTTAAGAAACCATCACATTTCCTTCTCCTTCTTACACTTCTAAGCCACAGGTTTATTACTTTACTTCTACACTACATTTTAAAGCTTTTTTGTGTTGTTTTGTTTTTTGTTTTTAAAGCCTAGCATTAATGAAACGAAGTTATATAGTATACTCAAACCTAATTACTACCTGATAGGATATTAATTAATTTGATTTAGGATTTTGATGTAAATGTATACAAAGCTTACAAAGAAAACTATCCCTTCTTTACCCTATGAGCCAGCAGATAAAGACGTTTTTCTCATAGAAAATACTTGGTAGAAGTGTACAGTTCACTTCTAAAAAATGATTTTGTTAGGGTTTTTTTTTGTTCTTTAGTTGTGGAGACTAGCCATGTGTGAGGCATTGGTCCACTGATAGCCTGAGCTGTACTGTATTACCTGCAATAGCTATTTCTCTGATTCATAAAATTAGGGCATTAAAATGCTGGATAGCTTTCAAAGTGTAATAATACTTTAGCAACAAATGCATACATATATCACTGAAAAAAAAACATTAGTTCTAGTTATAGAATTCAAGTTGACACTGAAAAATAAATTATTTCCTCTTTTCTACCCTAAAATTAACATGTATATTTATGGCTTTGCAGTCCATGTTGCAACACTAAATAGTAGTGTCAGTTCAGTTTACACGTTACCTTTGTTTACTGGAATTTACACTGTCTTTAAATAGTTACAGAATAAATAATTTGAAATGCATGATTGTAGACTGTGACTGGCAGGGATTTATATGCATCCGAGTTTATGGTCATGGCCTTCAAAATGACTAGTGATTACTCTTGTGAGTCCTTCTAAAATGTAGAGAGAGCAGTATATCCTTCACCAAGCAGCAGTAAAATTGTAATCCTTCAGCAATCATCCTTAACCTCTGCCAAAGGAAAAAGCAAACTTGACAAGGCGTTTGTGCCTCCCCCCCACCCCCAGGATCTTTTATCATAGGCTATAAAATATGAATTCATGACAAAATTGTTGATTTGTGTTCTCTTACTGACTGTTGAAGATAGATAACTCTATCTGAATGTTTTACCTGCAAAATTAATCCATTTTTTCACCTGTAATTCAGGAAAGGAAGAGACAAAGACTAGCATAAAAGGCTTTGTTACTGTTTGAAAACACTCCAATAGGAAAATGATATTTCTGTTAAATTTGACTTTGAATTTCTCCATAAGGTCATATTTGACAGATATTCCAGTTTTAGGTATATCTATGGGATAAACAGCATAATTCCCAATAGTTTCTATATCTGTCTTTTTCTCGTTTTCTTTCTAAATCCACTAATTATAGGAAGCTAAGATATCCCCGTGGTTTAATATGTTTTTGTTTAACTATATGATTACTTCCCTCGGATATATTCTCCCCTTTGAAACTTGATGAAGATTTAAATGTGAGTTTAAAATGTTCAGTCTTTTTCTTTATGGTTTGTGAAACAGCAAACAACAGCTTTATGGAAACAACCAATAAAACTCTGCTTACTTTTTTTGCTTTGCCTAAAGAAACTAGAGATTTGTTTCAATCCTGCGTTGTTTTGTTGTTGTTTGTTTGTTTTTTATACTGTTTTTGTTTCTGTTTATTTTAGAGTAAGTTGATGCCTGGTTTTGAAAATGTGTGTTTGTTTTAATTTAATGTTTTTGTAATTTCATAACAGATAGTGTATTCATCTTTTCAGTTAGATCTATGACCACGTAGTTGAGGTGTAGTTTAAATTACTTTTATGAATTTGATTATTCGAAGAACATAAGTTTAGGAGCATTTCGTTCCATGTATGGATTCTGAAATACGTTTGCCTGACACAAGATTTGGTGTAAGTAATCTGTAGTTAAATGATACAGCCAGATTGTGTTTCTTCAATTCATTGATTGATAGAAAGTAATTTTAACAAAGAAGTGCTTGAGATTACCACATTACCAGGATTTTGATTTTTCTAGATAGGGAGATGATTTATTTTTTTTTAATATCTTATCTTCTCTCAGTTATATTTTATTTAGATTACGTTTCCTTCCAAAAGTTTACATCGTCTCTGTCTGTGATAGTGAGTGCATACTTGAAGGAGGACACCAGATTCTTTTTTATTTGGAAGACTCTGGGCAAGCATTGATAAAAAATATTGCATGGATAGCATAATACTACTTCATTGTGTTTTACAGGCAGAATTGCCAGAATTTTGTTGTGGGATTTAATGAATATAGAGCCTATCTTCACAGAACTTTATTGTTGTACTGTGTTTAGTACTTTTTCATAAATTTTCCAAGGGAACATATTGAATGAAGTTGCTTCCAATTTTCTGTCACGCTTAAATTAGTACTTGTGGTGTGGATGTCAGAATTTATTCATGATTGAGAAGGTCACATACAGCAATAAAAGCAAAATTTGTAGAATAAATTATTCAGTCAACGCTGTTGAAC